AAAAAAAAAAAAAAACAGAAAAAAATAGAAACAAAAAAGAATGCAGCTCTCGACGTGTATCTTGTCCATTGGTCTCTCCGTATGCCTTATGTGCAGAGCGTGGCTAACCACCATGTTAGTCGTGGAATGGTGTCTACGCGTATGTGACCGGGTACACCGTTTCATGGACTTAAAAAAAAATGCACAAGGGGCGGGGTGAAGGGTGAAGGGTAAAGTACCATCATCGGGTCTTCACTTTGACCCCGGTTCACTTCGCTTTGTGGTTGAGTGGAAGCTGTGTGATCGACAGATTGCGTGTTCAAGACCCCACTAAGGTGCATGTCCATTGGTCTCTCCGTATGTATGCCTTATATGTATCTATCGGGCCTCTATCCACCACTTACCCCATGCGCAAAATACGAAACATATGCCGGTGTATCTTCCCATGTTCTAGCGGAAGATTCATTCTCATTTTGCACATTTGGTGGGTTAGTGGAGCGAGGCCCATCATCCTGTTTTTTCGCTTTTGTTTTTTTCCTCGTGCCCCCCTTCTCTCGCCCTCGTTCCTGATCACTTTAGCCGCTACAGACATCTTTTTTTTTTTTTTTTTTTTTTTTGAGGAAAGGACGACAGCCTTGAGATATTATCGTGAAACTTACCGGCCCGAAAAAAAAAAAAAAAAAAAAAGAAACCTACCGGGCGAAGAAGTACTTCACGAATTTTGTGCAATCTGCTTTTTCATCTGGATTCGAACTCAGGCCTGCATTTCATTTCATTTTTCCTTTTTTCTTTCCCCTTCCCCCCCCTCTCCCCAAACAGTTGATGGGTGTATTAACTGATCTTAAGGCCCTTGATACCCCCTTCCCCTCCCCTCCCCCCCCCCCCCACAAAAAAAAAAAAAACATTTTCATTGCAGTCAATAAATAAAAAACGGCGGCCTACTTTTTTTTTTTTTTTTTTATAAATAAGGTAATTGCATTGTATTATCGAAATAGCAAAAGGCAGGAGGCTGTAGAATCCCTCCACCCCTCAACCTGTGACTACTGACGTCGCTCCCCCTGGCTTCAACACCTTTGCTGCTAAACGGGGTCCATCGTCCTGAAAACGACCCCCCCCTTGTCAATGCCAATCACAAACATTCACAGCTGGAAGGATCAAGGTCAAAAAAAAAAAAAAAAAAAACCGACCGCTACCTACCTTTCCAAGC